ACCGTCTACCAAGCAGAACTGTTGGCACTACAGAGAGCGGCCGGGGAGGCGCTAAATAGCGAAAAAACCACGTTCGGCATTTTCAGCGATTCGATGGCGGCGCTGCAAACTTTTCTTCTGTCAGAGAGCAATGACAAATTGTGGTATCAAAGAGGTCTCATAAGATACATGAGGGTGACAGCAGAGGTAATCTAAACATTTAATGAATTTCTTTTGAATATTTTCAATTCTAGTTATGTGACATGCATAATAGGGGCTCCAGATGATACATGCAAAATCTAATAGAGAACGTACAAAACTAAAGTAAAGTAACTTTAAAGTACTAGCACGTTTAAATGGCTTTGAAATTCTTGTAATGAAACCAAGTTGCCTGTACGACTTCTTGATCACATGATCGATATGTAGGTTAAATGAAAGTTGTGAGTCCATCAAGACACCCAAATCACGAACCGAGTAAACTCGACTAAGGGATTCACCGTTAACATGGTAGTTATAATTTACAGGGGTACGGTTTACACTTATAACGAGGAATTAAATGAACTAGACATATTTAATACCAGTTTCAATGTTTATAAATCTAAAATTAAGCAGAAATATTCTCAGAGCAAGGAAAGGAATTGTATCACGGTCGCTTAATAAGTATGTAAATTCGTATATCATTTTAAAAACTTTACCTATCTGTATAATTATTTTCTTGTGTTTTTTTTTTAATGTATACTACTGATTTGACACTCTTTAAAAACAGTGCCTTTTCGTATTGTATTGTTTTATGGAACTCTAGGTCTGTATGTATCACACTGTAATAATTTTATTTGTAAGAGACTGTTTGTTTCCTGAATAAAGAAAAATAAAATAAAATAAAATGTTCTTTCCAAGTCAGTTTACAGTCAATAGTTAGTCCCAAAAATCTTGTATGTTCTACTTCTTCAATTCTTTTATCGTCAATAGATATATTTATGTCAGTAGTAGTTGTTCTTTGTCTAAATTGTATAATTTTAGTCTTATTTACATTTAATTGTAAATTATTTTGATCAAGCCAATTAATTGATTGTTGCAAAGTATCTTTAATGTCACGTTCATAATTTCTATTTTTATTCTGTTCAATAATTATTGTGCTGTCATCAGCAAAAAGAACCATAGGAAAAGTGACGTTTTTTGGAAAGTCATTTATGTAAACCAAAAATAACAGCGGGCCCAGTACGCTACCCGTGGCACGCCATAAGTGACTTTACGTGTTTTAGATAAATATTTAAGTTCCTTTTTACCTTTTTTTGAGACTCGTTTAATTTCCGTACACTGCGTTATATTTAAATGAAATAAAGCTTGTAATTACATTAAATTTATTTTAATAAATATGAGAAAATCCACCTTGTGTACACTTTGTGCATGAAGGGTTAAAAATAAATAAATAAAAATTACGTCACGGCACAAATAAACAATGTTATGAGTTTTAGTTTCATGGAGTATATATGCTCAGCCTGTAAGGACTGTTTCCGCTCGACTGTGTGAGCGAGGCCGTGAGTGAGGTCCTTGGACAACGGTGACATCTGGGAAATTACTGAACTAGAAGGAGCACCGAAATAAAAGTACATACAATAATAGTCACTAGATCAGTTTTATTGTTTTATATTAGTTATTTACAAATATAACAGATAAATGCGTACGACCCGCGGTCCCCGTGCGCGTCTACTCGTCCTCGTGCAGGGAGAACAGCTTGGCCACCTCGAACAGGTCTTCGAACTCGCCCTGCGCCAGCACCTGCGCACAACGAGAGGTCAGGGGGGGGCAGGGGGGCAGGGGGCAGG